GGGCATGCAGCGTGGCGATGGCGTCTTTGGGTCGCTTATTATACGCCGCCCCAAGAACTCCGAGCCACATGGCGGCCTCTACGATTTTGATCTCAGCGAGCATGTGCTGGTTGTCCAGGATTGGATACACGATACGGGTGCCAGCATCTTTGCCTATCACCATCACTCACGCGGCGATAATAAGCCCCACAATATTCTCATCAATGGGCGTGGTCGTTACTACAATCGCATTTGGGCGGACATGAAGAGACAGCATCGCATGGCCGCAGAGGCGGTTCCCACGGAAGCTCCAACCGAAGCACACAAAATTATCAAACTAAATCCAACGAACTTAAACTTAACGGCAGCATCAAGCAAGGATCCTGTGCAGCCAGGTAAGCGAATCTGTGTTTAACTTCCGACTATGCCTCACATTTCTTAATTGTCTTAAAAGCTCTTAAATGAAGTCTAGTTGCCCACTAACCAATTAGAAGAATCCCAGACAAAGTATATGAAAAAAAAAGGAAAGGAAGATCTTTCTTTTCTTTTTTCATATATACCATAACAGAAACTCCTAAGTAATCGCCCTGCCAAATTTGGTGACTCTAGCTTGTAAGTCGACCACTATTATATATATATATATATATTATTGCAAAGGTACGCTCAGTCTGAGAATTTGTAATCCTTAAGTCGGTCTTAACAATGTTTTTGGCACAAAATTAGTTGACTAGACTGCTGTTGAATATCTGCCTAAATCGTGCAGGATTTTTTTCTACTTCGACCGATTATTGATTATCCTTTTACGATTGCGCCCCAAATTCATATATTCTTTGCAATGCCACATAAATCAGTTTAAACTCTCCTAACGGACACTCCTTTAAGGCGTGCACCCTCTTTATCCGGACATTCTTATCTCAAACCGCACTTTTTGAATGCAAAATTTAAAAATCAGGCTAATAAGCAGACTCAGACTAGTCAGTGGCTGTCCGCTCAAGAGAGTAATTACTGTAGTTTTTATACTACTAGCTTTCTACTACCCATCTCTGTTTATTTTAGCAACAAGTTCAAGGAGTCGGACCGAGTAAATTGCCTGTAAGCACCGACTCGGTCAGACTTGCTGATTCGATAAAAATCGACCTCTAGATAGTCACACTAAAAAAAACTCGCTTGGGCAGAAGTCTGCGTGCCAATTGTCGAGCTATCAGCTGTATGGCAGATTTTTCCAATTTATTTTTGTGTCCTACTGTCTGAACTAAGTTTAAGTGCAACGTTTTCTATACCCCTAATATCTCAAAAAAAAAAATGTATACTGATGCATATACAAACCGACGGACAGACAAGGCAATATGCTATTTTTACTTTTTGAAAGGAGCAGAAAAAATCTTTATGTCAATCTTTTTCAAACATATTTGGCTTAGCCTAATTTGGACGCAGCAAAGGACGGATTGATCTCAGTCAGAATTTCCCTTAGTTATTATATATCCCATGAGCTCCCATGAGCGAACCCATTAACTATTTGTCTATTGTTCTGCTTAAGCTTAGCTAAATCTTTTCCTAAATCTTTCTTCCATTCCAAATCAATAAAATCAAAATAGCTTCCAAAAGCCCTTCAGCAGCACCAACGCCACCAAGTCTGGTCAAATTGCTGTCCAATGACGCGCGACAGATGCAGATGCAGTTGCAGAGCAACAGCAGCAGAGCAAATGGCAGCGGGTCGTTGCCCGCTCCAGTTGTCCACTCGCGTCAGCGCCGCGGCAATCTGCAAGAGATACCATTGGAGCAGATACCACATCAGGTATATCATGTGCGGCGGGGCTTTCGGTATCGCTTTCGCATCGTGAACGCCGAGTATCTGAATTGCCCGATTGTGGTATCTGTGGATAATCACACGCTGACTGCCATCAACTCGGATGGCTATGATATTGAGGCCATGGAAGTGGGCTCCATAGTGACCTATTCGGGTGAACGTTTTGACTTTGTGCTGAATGCCAATCAGGAGGTGGGCAACTATTGGTTGCGTCTCAAGGGCCTCATGGACTGCAGCGAGAGATTCACTTCAGCCTTCCAGGTGGCCATATTAAGGTATGAAGGCGCTGCCGAAGGTGAGCCCAGCGCTGAGCTGGGCTATGCACACAATGCCACGGGCATTCAGCTGAATGTGATGAATCGTGGTCCCGGCTACACGGATACCAAGACGGTTGCCGAGATGAGGGCATTGCCCATATACGACAAGGTCTCCGGCATTGATGATGACACACTGAAGCCAGAGGCGGACTATAAGTTCTTTGTGTACTACGATTTCTATCGCAAGGATAATCCGGAATTCCATCACAGCGACTACTACGGCATGGACACGAATGTGACCAAGGATAATATATTGTATACGCCACAGCTGAATCACATTTCGCTCAAGTTTCCCGCGGTGGCACTGCTGCCACAACGCCATCAGCTGAGCGACGAGCTCTTCTGCAATGAGACAACACTCGCCCAGCAGGGCATCGACTGTCGGGAGCAGTTCTGCAAGTGCCATCATGTGCTGCAGGTGCCGCTGAATGCTGTCGTCGAGCTGATCATTGTGGACGAGGGCTTCACTTTCTATGCCAATCATCCGTTTCATTTGCATGGCAATGCGTTCCGAGTCATTGGACTGGAGCGTCTGGGCGAGAATGTGACCATCGAAATGGTGAGTGGGCTTGAGAAGAGAACTCTTTAATCTTCCTTGATAATGTTCATATAATCCCCATGCAGATCAAGCAGCTGGATCAGTTTAAGCTGCTCAAGCGCAACTTGATAAATCCTCCCGTCAAGGACACGGTCACAGTGCCCGATGGAGGCTATACGATCATACGCTTTGAGGCCTACAATCCGGGCTATTGGCTCTTCCACTGTCACATCGAATTCCATGCTGAAATCGGGATGGCCCTGGTTATTAAAGTGGGTGACGACGATAAAATGGTACCAGTGCCGCGCAATTTTCCCACCTGTGGTGATTATGTGCCCGATTCCCGTACGAATATGGAAACATCGCCCTCAGATGACATTACTGGCAGCCCAACGACCTCAGCGCCACCCACCAGAGACACATCAGCCAGAAACCTGGCAACGGGTTTGCCATTTATTATCCTCATGTTAACAATGCTACAGTTGGCGAGCATAAGTTGAGCGCAGAGCATAAAACCTAATGCTATCATGACACTTGTCCAGTTTTAAGTCACTTCTACGACATTTTCCCATAACTAAAGCCCTTTTACAATCACTTTAACATTGCCTTAAGTTCAATAGCTCACTATATCTGCATGTTAAAATATAACATTCAGTTTATCAACGTGTTAGTGATAAGTGTTAGTTAACGCGGTCTTTCAGTGTTGCCAGCTTGCAATGTTTAGCACACATGGCTTGCACTTTATGCCGGGCTGCTGTTTAATTGAGCAATCGCTTTATTTCGGCCTGTTAAAATTTGACATTCAGTTTACCAACATTTCACATTAGTGTTAGTTAGCGCGGTCTTTCAGTGTTGCCAGCTTGCAAAATCGATTGTAATTAGTTAGATGCGAATTTAAAATTTTCAATCGTTGCCAAACTTAACAACATGACGTTGCCACAATTTAAAACAATTTTTATCACTTCAAAAAGATTTAACCTTTTCTAAACCTATATATGGAATGCCTTTTCATATTCTCGGAGTATTTTCCAACCCCAGTATTCGTTTAATATGAAACTAGTGAAATACTCATTTGTATGCCCCGCACAATTAGATTAAGTCAATTTTATTATCTTGAACGAAATCATGATTTTCTGTGGCTCAAAATTTAGCTAGTTTCATTATATCAACATCTGTGATTGTCTAAAACGTTTCAGTAGCATTTAAGCGTATAAGAAATATGTTCAGAATTTGTAAATAAATTATGAAATTATTTAATTAATTTAATCGAAATCTTTTCAAATTATATTAGTAGCGGGTATACCCCGACCTTGCCCGTGGTATGTATAAAATAAATTCCCTCAAAGAACCTTCAAAATGAGTTTGAAACCGATCGGACGGTAGCCAATTTTCCACTGTTGCGGGCGAAACCATGAAACACGTATTCATTAAGTTCTTACTATACGTAGAGAGTTGAAAATAAGTTTAAAGCAAATCGGACAAAACATTATACTTCACCAAAAGAGTTTAGAATCGCACTTTCCACCAAGGAAGCTTTTTTTTTTGCGAAAAATGTGAATCATGTCTCAAATGATTTTTCATATTGATCACTCACCAAATCTTTGAGGAATGCATTTTTCGAAAAGTGTGAAACACCCCTCAAATGAATTTGAACAAAGAGATTTGAAAATGAGTTTAAGGCCAATCAGATGGTAAACAAAAAAGTTGCATACCAACGTTTTTCGCGATTTTTTCACACTTGCGGGTGGAATTTCCCGAAACCCCGTCTTTACGTGCACCTACATCACAAAAGGTAACTACAGTGAAAATTTCATCTTTTTAGCTCAAACGGTTTGGGATGTCAGTCAGTCGATCAGTCAGGACAAACAATTTGATATATAGAGATAATATTTAAAGATCTTATTCTGTTATTTGTCGTCCATGGAATAGGAAAAAATGATAATAAAGATAACATAAATCTAACCGAAAATTCGATAAATCCTACTCGAAAATGATCAAAAAAGAACAGATATTTCGGGTTCGTGAATGTGTTCAATCACACTCGAAGCCTAAACTTTGGTTTGGACTAGAAATGGGCACCGAAAACAAAATTCTATGCAAAGCCAGACATTTATCGCAACTGTTTCGATTATTTAGGGGCCTTAGAAATAACATCGCAACTTGCCAGAGTTTCGGGATCATGCCAATTCCGAGATTCAAGTGTATCCGATTGGAATGTAATTAAATGTTTTTAGTTTTTTTTTAAATTTAATTTACAATTATTATATGTGATGCAACATCCATATTTATTGCATTATCCAAGCAAACACTCGATCCTATTAGATTTTAGAATAATCGGTTTCTAAGGTGCACAGCCGAATTAAACTTCGCCCTTATGTCAATGGCTCTGATAAGAAATTGGCAACAAGCCAACGAACCGGAGAGCAGTCTTATCTGAGGAGCAGCCAAAACAAAGCGCACATCTGGTCGGAGAACAATGCAGCTGACCTAAAGACCTAACCCTGAGACCCCAAGCAGGCTGACGGGCATTATCAGCTAATAGAAAAGAGGAGCCTATAAAAGACGCAGTGGGCCTGAACACTGCATCATAAGCAGCAAAGATGTACGACTGGACGAGCAAGAATGTGATGTACGCAGGTGGCTTCACCGGCATTGGGTTCCAGCTGCTGCACCAGCTGATGCAGAGGCAAAAGCTTAAAATGCTTGGCATAGTGCATAGCATGGAGAATGTGGAGATGATGAAGAAACTGCAGGCGGAAAATCCCAGCGTGAAGGTGATGTTCATGCATGTTAATCTCACGGACAAAGTGTCCATTGAGCAGACCATGAAGAAAATGGGCCAAGCGATGGGCAACATTGATGTGCTCATCAACTGCGAGGATGTGCTGCTGGACAAGGATGTGGAGACGACCATTGGTATCAATTTGGTGAGTTACAATATGGATATGTTGTGTTGTCTCTCAGCTCATCTCTCCAACTCACCCAACCATCCAGATGGGCATGATACACATGACTTTGATGGCCATGCCCTATATGGACAAGACCCAAATGGGCCTGGGCGGCATGGTGGTGAACATGTCCTCCGTCTATGGCCTGGAGCCAGCGCCAGCTTTTGCTGTCTACGCAGCGGCCAAGCACGGCGTCATTGGCTTCACCCGCTCGATGGGTGACAAGCACATCTACCAGAAGACTGGCATCATGTTTATGGCCATGTGCCCGGGTCTAACCAACACCGAGATGATGATGAATCTGCGCGACAATGTCACCTGGGAGCACTCCGAGTCCCTGGTGGAGGCCATCGAGAGCGCCAAGCGTCAAATGCCCGAGGAGGCAGCTAGCCAAATTATGAAGGCCATCGATATGGTGAAGAATGGCAGCATGTGGATTGTGGACATGGGACAACTGAAGGAAGTTAATATCCCGATGCATTGGCAAATGTAAAGCGCACGTCAAAGACAAACAAATAAATAAAAACTTTGCCTGATCCACATACTTTTGAAAACAAGGCGTCTTAAGTTCAAATTCCACAAGTCGGTTTAATGTCTCTTTGGGCTTTAGATTAATTTTCAGAAAAACAAGATAGAACCCGAAATACCCTAGACGAAATTTGAGGAGAATTCTGAAGCTCGGGAATGCCGATTTTGGTAAAGTTATGTTTAAAAACAGAATATTTTGCCATACAAAACAAATTTTTCGGTTGATTCTTTCCCTAGAGCTATATGATAAAGTATTGAAATCTTGATAAGGTAAACTTATAGGTATACTATTAATATATCGTTCTTATGGTATATATGGGATGTTATAGTCCGATGCTAATAAGATTTAGCATTTGTTTGAGGAGCATTGTGAAACTCTTAAGTGCCAAAGTAACTTGCTAAACAACAAAGTTTTCAATACAAGAACCTACATTTCGACCGATCGTTCCTATGAAAGCTATTTGATATTGTTGTCCAATCCGGCCGGTTGTGACATATTTACGCCTCCAACAGAAAGACAGGCTAATGCAAGTTTCAATACGTTAGCTTTAAAAGTCAGTTACTAGTTTGCAAAGAAACAGACGAACTAGCGGATGGACATGTCTCAGCCTTTGCTGCTGGAATCACAGATTGCTAATGTCTTACATAATTTGAAACACAACTATGATACCTTCTTCCAGGGTAAACGAATAATAATCGTATATAAATATATGTAAGAACTCACATGGGTATGCAAAGCCTCCAACATATGCTCTATTTTTAGGTATTCAAACATTAGCCATGGCTGTTAAGGCATAAAAATAAAAATGACAATTTAATACGTGTTTCTATACGCTAACAAACAAATACTTACACATATTTGCAATGATGTGTGTGTGAGTATATATAGATGATGAGGATGATAGATATGATGATGATATTATGATGCTAACTATACAGTTATTTCTTTGGTATTATATGCCACTTAAAGCGCTCGTAGTTAAATATACGCATTAATTTTTATCCAATTAGAATATTTACAATTTGCATAGACCGAGGCGAACAAGTGTTTAACTATAGCCTGGCCATTGTATTTGTAATCACACTCTATCATCTTTTAGATGCGCAGCATGCCAAGGATTGGTCCCTGAAGTATACTAACTACTATGTAGTACATTATGGCTCATAAGATAGATTCTATAAAGATTCCTTTTTTGATTGTCGGCCAAAGCCTAACTGCACAAGTTTTGCTCTACCATTTCGGCCACTTGCGTTTCAAACTTGGACTTAGTGTATTTGAAATTCGCTCGAAAGTACGCGTCTAAAAGCAGGGCCTGACAGCGTCCCACGTTCATCATTGAGCGCCAGTCCGACGCATATTTGGGCTCCTTCTGCCGCTCCAGCGGTGCATGCACTGGCGGCAGCGGGCAGCTATAGTGCTGCCCGTTGGCTGAGCGCAGCTTTACGGTCGAAAGAGCTTGTCGGCACATGAGGCATTCGAATTTATGAAATAGCGATTGCTCCTCGTTCTGCTGGTCGTTCTTAATTTGATAGCGACGCGTGAGCAAATGATTCAGCAGCATGGGGTTGTCAATAGGTTTGTCACGTTTCAGCTTGTGGTCCAGGTAGGATCTGTAGGCGGTTTCGTTGTTGTCCACTTGCTGCAGGTGGGCGGCCAGTGCGCCAGCATTGGCAAAATCGTCAACATAAATGGCAGATTTGTTTTGGGGCTGCCATTCCTGGAGTACAAAACAGTTCAATTAATGCGAAAGACTGTGTGCGCTTCTAGGATAGTAAACATACCCGTATGCTGGGCGAACCAAAGTAAATGGGTATGACGCCCATGATAAGTGGACGCCAGTATTTTTCGGTAATATAATCATCGCAAATGCCATTCTCAATGGCAATCATGAATTTGTAGCGGGAAAGAAAGCGCAGCAAGGCATCCGAATATAAATTGTTCAGATAGTCCGTTTGAAGGCTGAAAGAAAAGAAATCAAAGTATTTAAATTTATCGGAGGGAAACAGCAGATATATTACAATGATTTAGCCAATTTGGATATATTTAGCACTGGAAATGGCAAGAAGTTGGCAAGACTGATTCCTCGCTCACCTCTCTGGCAAATCTCGATTGTGCAAACAGCCGCCATACGAGTCCACCTGGATGTGCTGCATCAGCTCTCGCACATAATCCTCGCGCCCGGACAGAGTATTGCAATCGGTTTGCAGGAAAACCACCGAGGCTAGCCGTTCATTAAACTGAATAACCTGCTTAGAAGAGTGCGGAATATAGTAGTCCGTCTGGGTGAGATCGCTGGGATGCGGCAGATACTGTGTGGTCAGTGGCAAATTGCTGTGTCGACTGAATGTGGACGTGTTGTTGAAGTGCTGCAGAAATTCATGGTGCGGCACAAAGGGCACATTGCGCGGTGACTCCTCGTGCAGCAGACCCCACAGATGATGCGGCTGGCGTGGCATTGGAAAGTCGTGCGGTTTCATATTGGAGCCATAGAAGAGTATCCCCTGTAAAGCAAGCAAACAACAACAAAATAAAGCAAACGCGATAAACGAGAGCCGGACGCGAACTTCCGCTGCAGCCCCGCCTCCACTTACGCGAGCCTCTTTCAAGCGCTGGCGATTGTTGGTCACACGGCATGATTCCAAGTTGCAGTAGCGCATCTCATTGTAGGACCAGTGCATATCATTTGTCCACCAGAGCAGCTCGGGAACAGCACCGCGAATGTCCTCCTTTTCCCTGGTTATGTACCAATACAACCAGGCGACGCTGCACAGCCAGACGAGCGAGACTAGCAGCAACTTCAGGCGACGATTGCGCCACATCCACATCGTTTATTTGCCGTATTCAGTCGATGCCTGCTGCGGGTGCTCGTCTTTCAATCTGTAATTATCACCCGCTGGACGCCGCACGGGGCATGCCCCAATTCAAATGAACGCGCGCGAGAACTGTGTGCCGTGAAAATTTGCTGCAGGTTGTTTTTTCTTAACTTTGACACGTGCGCAGTGCTGTAAAACGCAGCTACTTTATAAGCATTTGCGGTACGTTACGATATGCTTGATGCTCACATTGGCATGTTAAACAGAGCCAACTTTGCCAAGAGCTAGCACAATAACTTTATCACGATTGAAGTGTTGATTGATAAGTCAAAAGAGCTGCACGTAGCTGCTAATCGACAATGAATTTGTTTACCTAATTAAAATGTTATTTTAGCGGTCGCTTCGTGCGTGGCTGTATGTCATGCAGGCTGGAACGTGCACCGCTGCCGCAGCAAAACACATTGTACAACACTGGAGCACGTCATCATAATATTGTTCCATTTACATTTAGCTCAATTTTAGCATATATCAACAACAAGAAGGCTTAAATTATAGAAATTATGCCGTCAACAGCTTGAAATTAGTAAACGAACGCGCAAAACATGGCCAGGCGCCAAAATGCAACGTAAACACTCAATGGACGGGTCGGCAGGCAAAAACAAATATTGACATAACACGTCAACGTTTGCGGCGAGAATTCGGCAAAAAAAAATTTTTATATAAAACAATAAACTAGGCACTTAACAAATTGGCACAACGCACAGCTCCAAGCACGACAAGCATGTGTTATGGCCACAGCGCAGCACAATACAACAACGGCCGCTGCTGCGACGGAACATGTGGCGCCGGCGGAGCGAAAACAATCGGTCGCATCGGCTTCCAATTTTAACATAAACGCGCCCAGCTGGCAATCCTGCTACTATTGCACGCGGGAGCACTTCAAAAGCGTCGCGGAATTCGTCAAGTAAGTAAGCCCCAGTTCAGCTTGAGAAAAAATCTTTAAGCTCTTTAACCAACCTTCCGTCGCCCGACCAACAGCCATTTGCGCAGCCGGCACTGCACGCGGGAGGGCGGCTCCTTTGTGTGCCGCTACGGTTTCAATGGAGTTTGCGCCTCGCTGCCGCTGGACGGCGTCTCGGATCGCGACTACGATGCACATGTGGCCAAGTATCATGTGAACCAGCAGACGCGCGAGCTGCCCCCGGAATGGGGCGTCTATTCGGCGGCGCAGAATCTGCCGGCCGTGCTGAACGATCCGCAGCGTGGCAAGCAAGGCAATCTCTTCACCAAGAAGTGGGGCGAGCATTTTGTGGACCGCGTACACATACCGAGCACTCCACGTCTGCCGGACATAACGCACGCCGATTTCGCTGTCTATCTGGGCAGCATTGGCAAGCGCTATCGATGGCACGAGCGTCGACAGCAGCAGCAGCAACAATTGACGCCCACTACGGCTACGCCGGAGCATTTGGGTGGTGTGCCCGTGCCAGAGATCTTTTTGAAGTCGCAGCTGCAGCTGCATCATGCGGCGACCTTTGCGCAAGTCTTTCCCAACTATATGCAGCCAGAGGCTGGCGAGGACAACGCCAGCTGCACTGTGCAGCGCCAGGAAACGGGCAGACAGCTGCAGGAGCAGCTCTCCCATTATCTGGACATTGTGGAGGTGCGCATAGCGCAGCAGGTGGCACAAAAGTCGGCGGCCTTCTTTCATGCGATGACCACACAGCATGCCATACTGGCGGAAATGCAACAGGCCGCGGAGCAGGTGCGTCAGCTGCGTGCCGCTCTGGCCCAGCTGCATGGCAGCGCCGTTGTGGATAGTTTTCGCGTAATGCGCTTTGCGCAGCGCCGGCAGCACTATCATTCGACGCTGGACAAACTGCGACTGATGGCCACCGTGCACAAGACGCAGCATATGCTGCAGCTGCTCCTGGGCACCCAGGACTATGTGGCCGCATTGGACTTAATAAGCACCACCCAGGAGATACTGGCCGCCGAGCTGTTGGGCGTACATTGCTTTAAGCATCTGCCCATGCAGCTGGGCGAAATGGAGAAGCTCATCGACAAGATGCTGACCACGGAATTCGAGCGTTATGCCGCAACAGACTTGAATCGCCCGCTGACAGACGCCGACCTGGAGACGGATAGCGTCTGCGCGGAGGAGGACAAACTGGTGGCCATTGTGATGGGCCTG